TTTATTACGGTAACTTAAGTTACATCCCTTAACAAGAGCCAAGGCTTCAGGTTAAGAGGTTTAGGGGTGAGCGTTTAGGGTTTAGGAGGCTCCTTTAAGGGTCTAAGGCCTTCGAAAAGTATTGCCTTAAGGGGTCTTTTGAGGGTTCCTTTGAGGGTTCTAAAGGGTGTAGGGTTTGAACTTTCAGGTTTTGGCTTCTGGGGTCTGAGAGTCTGGTCATAGTATAGGAGCCTGAATCGTGAGACTAGGGGTTTTGTGTAGGGTTTGGAATTTTAAACATGGGAGCGATAATGAGTAGAATAGGGCTTGGAAGTATAGGAGCCGTAGAAGTATACAGGGAGTTACGCAGGACATGATTGCTACATGTATGGCGACCCTCAAGGTTATGTGGTTTTTGGCTTTGCAGTTTTGACTTCAGGGGTTCGGGCGTTAGTTTGAACATGTTTGGGGGACCATATTCATAGCATCGATTATGGATATATCAGACCCTCAACAGTGTCCTTGTTGTTGACTGCTACTGCATGGTGGGCTGTATCTTAAAAAAGGCCCGAAGAAGGCAGGAGCAGTTGGGACTCTGGAGTTTAGGGCTTTAGGGTTTGAGGGGTTTAGGGGTCTAGGGGTTTTGAGTTTAGGGGTTTAGATGTTTTGAGTGTAGGGGTTTAGGGGTTTTGAGTTTAGGGATTTAGGGGTTTTGAGTGTCGGGGTTCAGGGGTTTTGAGTTTAGGGGCTTAGGGGTTTAGGGTTAAGGGTTTTAGAATGGTCAGTTGAGCGGTGAAGGGCTATAGTACGGCTATAGGGTGGGGTACTAGGATTTAGGGTTTAGGGGTTGAGGGCTTAGTACCCCTGGCTTTCCATAAATAGGTCTGGTGCAATGCGCACGCAGCCCCTGAGGCAGATGCTGCGGTCAAGGGAACCATCGCGGACGTACCCAACTACGTGCACGAGCAGCTCCCGGTGGCTCATCTCGGAGTCCCACCGTTTAGGGTTTAGGGGTTAGGGTTTAGAGTTTAGGGTTTAAGGTTTGGCGAGCTCAGCTCAAGCCTGTGGAAAAGGGTTTAGGGTTTAGGGTTCATCAACAAAGGCGGAGAACCCAAGGCTTTAATGAGGGAATACAGCGACGACCCCTAGACTCTAGCCTCGACCTAGAAAGCCTCCGAGCCCTACAAGGCTAAACCCTATAAAAAACCCTACAGTCATGCCAGTTGCGAGAGCTTGCAGCCTAAACCCCAAAAAAGCACTAAAGGACCCTAAACCCTCAAAACCGAAGCCCCCAAAAAGCCACGAAGACCCAACCTACAGAGCCGCTCAGCAAACCAGACGGTTGGCCAATTCAATTCCCGGAAAGCTCAAGACCCCTTCAGCCAAGAACAGAAGGTTACATAGCAATGTGTCGATCTTAGTTGCCAAAGCCCTAAACACCCCAAAAGACGAATGTCAAGTCTCAGTCAGGGTTTTACCTATATCCCTAAAGCCCAAACAAAACGCAAGAGAGGGAAACGCAGCGGGCATCCGTGGCCCTTGTAAATGAGGAAGATCTGCCAAATTGTGTGGGGCTTCATCTTGCGACTCAAGGTTTATAGGGCTTAAGGCTGAGGGTCGTGTTTGTACGTATATTCCTCATACTATAGTGGAGGGTTGGACATGACTTTCTGGGGAATGCTTTTTGGTTCCTACTTTTGGGTCGAAAGCTGCATGCATCTCCCTGGTGCATAAGCCCGACGCCCGTATTCGGGCCCAAACAATTACCAATATTATATTTTTTTGGGGCCCTCTTTTTAAAACTGTAGTATAATGGACCGAAAAATCCTTTGTGATTAGTAAGGACCCTGTAATAGGGGCTTAAGGACCCGTAAAACCCTGAACCTCGGACGCCTATAAATCTTGACTCTGGCTCAAAGGGCGCAAAGGGCCGCCCAGGAGAGAAACAGTCGCCATGGCTACGGGAATAGTATCGAACCCAACCTCAGGACACAAAACCCTGAGAGTTATGGTATTACCGGAGAGATCTTGACTAATTCAGGGTTCCCACAAAAGGTCCACAGTTCTGGTTTTGGCTTGGGACAACACCCCCCAGTCGAAGTGATTATCCTCATTGCCTTTTTGAGTGTGAGCAAGGAACTGTCGTAGCAAGGGTCGACAGGTTTATGCTCCATCGGACTGGCTTCCGCTATCCACAAGGCTGCAGTCCCCACTTCCTAGACCTTGCTATGAGGTGCACGTCTCCAAAATAGCTTGCCTGACCAAGCCCAACCTAAGCTCGCCACCTGGCACCCGTGTACTGGACGGTGCAGCAGCGGCTGCGGCAGCACTCCCTGGCACATGCACGACTCTCCCCAGCGAGCCGCCCAGGCATGAAACGCTAAACCCTAAAGCCCCAACCAAGAAGGGACGACTGGTAAACTTAGGCCAGGATGAGAGTTCCGAAATCCTAAACATGGCCGCACGGGACCGATCTCGCTCTGCGGTGGTGCGCGCGTCCCCACGTGCTCCTGCCAGACAATTTTAAAGTAGAGGTTTAGGGTTGAGGGTTTGGAATTCAGGTTTGAGCGTTTAGGCTTTATAGTCAATCTAATTAGGCTTGCCGCATCAGTACTTCATATTATATCGATGTCAAGGTCATGAATGCTAATGTTTGTTCCTCTTCGTCTTGATCATGAGCTTGTTTTTTGCTTAGAATGACGCATACGTCGGTTATTTGGATATAGGGCTTGGAAGTTATGGCGTTACCTGGAGCTTTGCCTTTAGACCTATAAACCTGAAATCCGAAAGCCTAAACCATGAGCCCCGGAACCCTAAACCCTAAACCGCCTGCAGAGTCCGAGTTGCGAAAGTCCAAACCCTAAACCGTGACTTCAGCTTTCGTCTAGGTCCTTGTTGGATAAAAGCTTAGATTTTTTGTTATCATAAAACCCTAATTAGGAAAAAATGATAATTTTCAATATGTTCCCAACAGCCCTAAACCCTAAACCCTCAACCCTAAACCCTAACTCAACCCTAAACCCTAAACCATGAGCCCTGAACCCTAAACTCTAAACCGCCTGCAGAGTCCGAGTTGCGAAAGTCCAAACCCTAAACCGACCCTAAACACTAAACCCTGTTCCCAACAGGGAACCAGTCTTGCTTGGTTCTTTTTTCGGAGCCAGGAGCTCCGGTTCTGGGCTTTAAAGACCCTGTAACCAAAACCTCGAAGGCCCCGAGTTCTTTTTGCGGAACTTAATATAGGGGCCTTAATAAGTGGAATAGGGTTTGGGGTCCCATTGTACGATAATTATAATTAGGAACCCCCAAAAATAGTATTGGTAATTTTTTTAGGCCCCTACGTTAACTTCAGTAACCATAGTTTAGGGTTCCTGTAAGGGGTTCTCAAAGGGTTTTGGGGCGGATTCGGGAGCTTAGTTCAATTTACAAAAACAGGGACCTATGGTAAAGACTGGAGGTTCCTTGTTATGCCAACTGAGACTCAGTTCTCAAAAAAAACCAGAGGCCTACTATCCCATCAAGCGCACTATCCGAACCTTCGGGGCTCTTTTCCTTCGAGAGGTTTAGGGTGTAGGGTTTAGGGTTTAGGGTTTAAGGGTTTAGGGTTTAGGGGTTTGGGGTTTAGGGTTCAGGGCTTAGGCGTACGGTCCAAAGAGGGTTCAATGTCTCCCAATCGAGACTTTGGCTAGCCTGCAGAGGCTTCAGCTGCAGGGCAACCACGAAGCTCGAAATTTTAAAACTCACCGAAAAGAGCCTTAAACCCTAAAGCCTAAACCCTAAACCAAAAAACGGAGTTCCGTAATGTGGCTCTTGGGCTCTGCAAATCAGAAGCTCTCGCCTTGCACCTCAGTCCTTAGCTCAGGTCCTGCTGCGGCCACCGTGAAGGCCTTCGACGAGAAGGAGACCCATACTCGTTCATAGTGAAATATGTATGTATGTATGTATGTATGTATACATATATATATATAGGTATATAGGTATAGTTTATAGCATAGTACGGTACATGTTATAGTATTATATATCATATTCTCTGCAGTGGGCCCAGCATGGATGACCTGTGGTTCAGGCTTTCAGGGCTTTCAGTTTAGGGTTTGGTGTTTTTCTTAAACGACTTGAGGCCTTGAGTGTTTCTTTGAACCAAGGAGCACAAAACAGTCAACCGTTTACGTACAAGTACGGCTTTGAAGAGGCAGCCGTGGCCTTGCCATACTTCCCCTCAGGTGGAAGCTCAGGTTTCTGGCGTAGTATCACAGTCAGAAGCGTGTATCGCAACTGTCCAGCATCCGGTGGTTGTGATGAGTGTTGAAACCCTAAACCCTGAACCCTGAACGGCGTGTACACGGTTTTTTGCTAGGGTTAGCTAGGTTCCCCAGTAATTAGTACCCTTGTGCTCTTTTTCCTTTTGTGTTCCCTTATTAAAACCAAACACAAGAGAAAAGGGTAAACACTGTTACGTTCCCTTTGATCTCACGTGCAGAGGTGGTTTCTGCGTCTCCTGTTTCACTAGATGCCTTAGTTTCGCCCAGAGGCTCATATCTTTTTTGTGGGTGGCCTCGTACCTCTCGCGCTTTGAATGCTGAGGCCAATGATGCCTGGTCTATCATTCTGGATATCCAGAAGATTCTTCTTAAGCTGAGCCAATCCAGCTCCATAACATGACTGCGCTTTGAGACTTGAGGTACCCTCACTATTACGGGGCTATTGGGAAACCTAGTTAAGGTTTGGGGTTTGAGGCTTATCACCTGCCAGACCCAGGCCAGCAGGATGTTGAACACGCACGTCCCGACACCACCAAGCACGTCGAAGCTCTTCCGTAGGATTTAGGATTCAGGGTTTAGGGTTTAAGGATGTCGAAGCTCTTCCGTAGGGTTTTCTTTGATGTGCTGTAGATAGCATCGCTCTTCCTCCCGTTTTGGCCCTCCTGACTTCCACCGCAAGCTCCGGTCCAATCGAGCCCCCTTTTTCCCTGCCCTTCGAAGGACCCAGACCAAGGAGGCAGCATTCTCCGGAAGACGGCATCCATGGTGGAGACTGGGTCTCCCATGCACATGTCGAGGAGAAGCAAGTTTGCGACTTTGCCGGAATCGGAATGATACAAAAATCATTCAAGCACATGGTAAATCATGAAACAGAAAGCTCCTTGTTTTGAGCAGGGAGCCGTTAATGTCGAAAACCGCGACACCTCAAGTTTCAGTGAAGAGCGTGGCATTTGGATCATTTGGAAATGCCGGAAAGCTTGAAACAGTCTATGCACTTCCGGGACATGATTGTGCCAAAAGACCAGGCGAAAGTATCTTTTGGGGGCGAGATGCTCGCTTGTTCCATGGAGGTCCCACTGTATGTCTAGGCCGCGTACGGTACCACACAGCAGGTATGGATGCTCTGGTCCAAGTGAGCTAGCCGCATTATGGAACGTAGAGTCGTAGAGATTGAGTTCTGAGGGTTTCGGATATGGTCGCCTTGGTCCCATCATGCCTTGGGCCCTGGATGTTGCCAGGTTGAGGCATGGATGCGCCAGTCCCATTGTGCAAAAAACCACAAAAGCGAGGCTCCCCATGCCTGCTCCTAGATGTTTTCAACCTGAGCCCCAAATCCGAAGCTAAAACCAAAACTACACTTGAATGTAGGGCTGAAAAACTCCTAAGGTTTGGTGCGTGAAGTCGAAGTTCGCACGGCCAGATGGGTCCAAGCTGCCCCTGGGCTGCCGTTGGGTTTAAGGCTATAGGACTTGTTTAGGGTCTACCTACAGTCTCCATTGTAGTTCCTTTTTGGGGTTACCTTTTAGGATCCTTAATATAGAATTGGTTAAACCAAAAAAAAACTACAATGGAGACTAGAGGCAGGTTTGAGTATGGGTCTAGGCCAGGGAGTGGAGGCACTCCTGATTGAACGACTATGAACCCTAAATCTCTAATTTAAACAGGGATTGGCATGTACGCCCAGCGGCTTTGGAGGTTTTGCGTAGTGTTTTGGTATTTGGGCGATGATGTACGGCGCATGCTGTCCCTAAGCGCACCCCTGCTCCATCCCAGAATCCTTCGACACCCTAACCCCATCAGCCTAAACCCTTAACTCCAAATCCCAAAAGCCTTAAAGGCCCCAAATCATATGGGTGGTTGTCCAAATTTGGGTTTCTTCTGGCTTCCCAAGCTACAGGGAGCCGTGCTAAGAGTAGAATTATGTAGGGTTCCCCAGGGACCATAATTCTGACAGTTACCATATAACACTACACCCGAAGCCCTAAACCCTCTAAACCCCGGCACTATGAATTCGAAGCCCTATAACACTAAACTCTATATAAGCCTTAAGCCCTATATAAGCCATACAAAACCCAAAGAAGAGGCACTTCCCCTTAACCCTAAACCGACAGGTCATGCAACGCTGTAAGAAAAAGTGCTTCGAGGTACTTCTACAACAGGGTTCTATACCCCAAGCCCGAAACCCTATGAACCAACCCTATAAGCCCCAAACTACGTAAGCCTTCACCCCTAAACAAAAGAAGCCCTACGAGGCCCTACACCCTGAACCCTAAACCCTAAACCCTACACCCTAAACCCTAAACCCTAAACCCCTAAACCCTAAACCCTAAACCCCTAAACCCTAAACCCTAAACCCAATAAGCTTCGAGGTACTCCTACAACCCCGAGGATGCCTGGCAGGACCCACGCGACACACATCGCGCGGTCACCCACAGCATTGTTTGCCCCTAGGATTCGAATTTTTGGCTTTGGAGTGCTTGGGGTTTCGGATTTGGGGAATTCTATGGCTTAGGTCGGATGTTGGGGGTTGGAGTTTTTGGTGCTCCGGGCTTCTATGGTTTCAGGTTTTGCACCTGGGATTCGGATTGCGGGTTTAGATTTTTAGTGCTTGGGGTGTCTATGGTTGAAGGTTTAGGGCTTAGGGCTTAGAGGGATCGGGGTTGGCTGTATAGCCGAAGACGACAGAAGAGAGGTCCAATGATCGTGTCGGTCACCAAAACCTTGTGTTTAAGCTGTACGGCCGCTACAATGCCTCGTAGGCCATAGTTAAATGGCTACTCTAAACAATGGGAACGCATAAATGTGGCCTTAGGTTCGGCTGGCTTGAAAGCAGTTTAATACCTGAGTGAGCGCATCCAAGAACCCCAGATTCTGTCGAATCTGAAGTCTTCTGATGTCCAGCTGACTGATCGACCAACAAGTCGACTTCACTCCTAGTAAAGCCACAACGCACCCCGACCCTAGCGCGCCACAGTTGCGGGCATATGATCGATGAATAGCAGTTGGCAAAGGCCAAGTCTGCGGCGCACCTCTTCGCAAGATCTTCTACCGGATGAGGCGCAGTTGATGATGCTTGTGGAAATTTGAGATTTGGGGTTTTCCACTGCCCAAGCCGAGCACTCCAGAGGTATAGTATAGTCCGTGCGTTTTACATCGTATCCACCGGAGAAGCATCGGGATTTACATTTTAGACACCACCCTTTGAGAGCGCGGGACTAGCCACGGGATTCTTTAGGGGTTGTTGGGGTTTTCTATCTCAGGATGCCTTGCCTGGGTGCTCAGCAGATGCAGTAGCTGGCTGGATGCGGTTTCGGGTTTCAGACGGGTTAAGGGGTTTAGGGTTTAGGGTGAAGTTTCTAGGATGAGGGTCAGACGTCAGGCTTCCAATGCCAGGATGTTTATGCAGACTGCGTTGGTGACAGCCACGTTGTGCTGCTGGTTCGGGGCTGTCGACCCGAACCAATCGCAGAGCGCTTTCGCATGAAGCGAGGAGCATATTCAGGATAGGCCGTTGGCTTCTGAGCGTCGTATAACTCTCTCTCTCTCTCTCTCTTTCTCTCTCTCTCTCTCTCTCTCTCTCTCTCCCTCCCTCCACATATATATATATATATATACACATACACCTCTTATATAAAAACAAAATACGAATGTGTATATATATATATTTATTTATTTATTTGTTTATTTATCTATTTAGTTATTTACACATATGATTATCTACTGTATAACCTACTTTCGGCAATATACAATATAATGAAGCCAAGTCTCAGCATGTCTCCAGGTGCTACGAGAGGAGGAGACTCGGCGAAAAGGGCGTCAGGCTGCTGCATCCAGAGATTTTCATCGCTGGCCAGTATTGCATGCGCGCTTTGCTTGGCAGGGCGCGTCCACGGCCCCCAAGTCGCGAATTGAGCAAGCTGTTATCTCTGAATGTTCATGTTGTTTGCTCCAAGGGATGAGCTCGTGGTGCGATGCTTTTGGCGTGTTCTCCATGGGTGTTCACTATCTTGCTTGCAGCAGTAAGCATAATCATAGGACGAAATTGACGTGAACAAGAAGCCAGACCACGATTGGAAGGGTTTCTCGCGACAACAAGGACCTTTCAGCGGACTTTGGGAAAGGCAGAAGGGGTTCCAGCATCAACACTACGGAGAGCAACATTGCTTTCATCACGCTGACCACCGCGTTGTAACCATCTCTGTTAGTCAAGTTCGTTAAGCCCGTCTTAAAGTAGCTTCGGAGACGTGCAGCAAGCCCAGGACACAGCGGCAGCATCACCACGAAGACGACGATGAGGACGACGACGACGACGACCTGGAATATGAAGCCACACCCGAACCTGAGAAGACCGCGCCGCGCATTTCCGACGATGGCCAGCGCATGCCTGTGACCCCCGATGGGTTGAAGGAGCTGGAGAGTGGCGGTGTGCCAGTCACCCCGCCTCCTCTACTCAGTGAGGTACGGCATGGTGAAACTGAGTCTTCCTCCAGCGACGGCGAGGACTGTCTGGTTCTTAATGGATCCTATGATAGTCCCTTAAGGCCCGCTATATTAGTCCCAATAACCCATTGCCCCATTCCCTACTAAACCCTAAACCCTAAACTGCAGACTCTAAACCCATTCCCTACTAAGAACCAGACCCTAAACTTTAAACCCTAAAACCCCAAAACCCCTAAACCCCAAAACCCCAAAAACCCTAAACCCTAAGGATGCAGACGAGCAGAAACCCATGCGCCTGCGGTCGGGAACTGGAATCGGCATGTTTGAAGAGGACGAGTCCGCTGTTCGACTCTGGGTTCTTTTTAAGGAGCTTCGTTTAAGTTATGCTATAGTAACGAACCCCCTGTTCTTTGCTGTAGATCCCTATTTTGGTAGTTTAAGTTACCATAGTAACGATACCCTATTATTTGCTGTAGATCCCTATTATGGTAACTTCAACTAAAATTCTACAATTCCTTAACAAGAACCCAGGAATTGCCCGCCCGACGAATCGAGACGTTCCAGAGCTCAAGCCCTCCATCTTTGGTGATGCATCTCAAGTGCTGGTGTTTTAGCAACCTGTTTTGTTTTTGGCTTTGTTGTGTTGTATAGGGTTTAGGGTTTTCGGCACCTGACCCTACCTGGCCGTTCACATTTTTTTCGCGTTTTTTGAGGGGGGGGGGGTGGGTTGGGTTGGATCGCACCGAAACGAAAAGCAATGCCCAAATTACGTTCGTTTTGCCTGCCACCCGTCCAACAGTCTTAGAAGGGGAGTTGTTGAGTGTTCCCGTTCTTCCTGTGTTTACATGCTCTGTCCTTGTGTTGCCGCACATTGCCTTTTCGAACAAATTGCAGTTGTTATGTTTGTTCCATTTTATTGCTGCCCCAGCACCCTTGATCATAAGTTAGTGTTTCGGCTTGCCTCCTACACCTCCCAATCCCTGAGCCCCCAACAAAGGGCTATGTCTCCATGCTGCCACTTGTGGCCCACGATGCAGAGGACGACGGCGCAGGTGGGTCGCTGTGACCGTGAGGGGTTTTGCATGTATGATTCGCGTTCAGGCTGTCAAGAGGCCTGGATGCAAAAATTCAGGATTGGGGTTTAGGGTTTAAGATTTGGGGTTTACATAAGGGTTTAGGATTTTGGGCTTAAGGGTTTAAGGGTTTTGGGTTTAAGGGTTTTAGGTTTAGGGTCCGAAAACGTGAACCTCGACCCTCAACTCCCGGCCCAAGCCAAAGCCCAAGACTCTTTTTATCACAGCAAATCAAACTGTGATGGACCATGAACTGTGATGGACCATGAATGAGAATACCCATTATCAAGAGCAAAGAAGCCCTCAACGCCTGAAGTGCTAAACCCTGAAAACCCTGCAGCGCCACTGCAAAACAAACATCCCCTAAACTCTAAGAACCCTACAGTGAAATCCCGGTACAAGAGCCCCATCCGGCGAGAGGAGCCGTTCTTATTTTCCATTTCCTCTGGTTTTGCCGGCTGGTTAGTGAGGGTAGGCTAAGGTTTTTAACCGCGTTCTTGTCCAGACGCAGCGTGTGCCTTGAGCCAGAATCGCCACTTTATCTTCTTTTACCTACCCTGCCCCCTCGCAAAAACGAATTACTCTCTGACACTAATTCGTTTTTGCTTTTGCCCATGCGAGGGGTCGGGGTTGGCAAAGGCAGAAACGAATTAATGTCAGACACTACTCCCAAAAGGGAAAATGTCGAGTTGTGGGCATGGGCAGGGCAGGCAGGAGTGGGGTTGGGGGCAGGGTGGGCAGCGGCAAAAACGAATCAGTGTCAGACCACTCCCAAAATGGAAAACACCAAGTTACGCATGGCTGGGCAGGGCAGGGGCATGGGTGAAGGTGACGGCAGAAACGGAGGTCATCTGCAGCGGCGGCTCCATAGCTCGGTGGTATCGCGCCCATTGGGCAAAGGCCAAAACGAATTAGTGTCAGACACTAGTTCGTTTTTGCCCCGGGGCAGCGGCAGGCAGGGGTGGGAGTGGGTTCTCATGTCCGGTGTTTTCATAACAAGCCAAGCCACAACGAAACCACGTCCACCCAACCAAAAAATAAGAACCTGATCCCGAAAGCTAGGGTACCCTTGGGATTCTTAATTTTGCAGCAACCTGATTTTGTGAATTCCGCTAGGGGTACGGGCTAAGGTTCTTAAACAGAGGGTTCTTTTACAGGATGTTAACTCTAACCCCTTGCACCCCAAACCCGTAGCAGCAAGCCAGCCAGCTCCAGCGTGTCTTCAGCCAGCCCAGGGGGCGCAAAGTTTTTGTTTTAACCTTAAGCCGCAAAGCCCCAGGTGTCGAAACCCTAAGTCCTAAATCCAATGCCCTCCCCTCCAAACAAAGCGACATAAACACAGGTTTCGAAACTCTAGACTATAACTAGATTCTAACTCTAACTCCAAAACGAAGCAAACTAGCATAGCAACAAGGTGTCTTCAGCAAGCCTCCTCATCTTCTCTATCGCACTCTCTGGCCGGGTGTCGATCGGCCACCCTACGTGGTGGTCATACCAAGCTACGGCCGGCCTCAGAGGCTCTGTCAGGAGCAAAGCTTCAAGTATGGGTGTAATGTTTTTTTGATGATCCCCGCATGCGTATGCAGTTATATACATGCAGATATATATAATATATATATATATATGCATATATATATATCATACATGCATACGTTCATGAATACATCCATCCATCCATCCACCCATCCATCCACCCATCCACCCATACAAACATACAATCATACATACATACATACATACATACATACATGCATACATACAAACATACATACACGCTGACGTTTGCAACATGCCTAGAAGCATGCATACAATACACATACATACATACATACATGCATGCATGCATGCATGCATGCATGCATACATACATCCTACATACGGACATACCTACATACCTACGTACATACATACACACCCACGTACCCACCCACATGCATACGTGCATACATACATACATAAATACACACCTAGATACTGACATACATACCTACACTCCTACATACACACATACATACATACATACTTACATACATACATACATACATACATGTGCGCCTAGTACATAGACACACAAACACACACACATACATGTATATATGTACATACATGTGTGTGTATGTATACATGCAAAGATACATTCACAAGTAGAAACACACACAGACAAATAGATACATAGAAACAAAGATACATACATACATACATACTTAGTTGATTACTTATTTACTTACTTACTCACTTACTTACATGCATGCCTATGTAAGTACAATTACATGTGTATATATATATATACATGTATGTAAGTATGTATGTATGTATGTATGTATGCATGTATGTGCTTATGTTTGTATGTACGCACGTATGTATGCGTGTATGTATGTATGCGTGTATGTATGTATGCATGTTTGTATGTATGAATGTATGTATGTGTTTATGTATGTATGCATGTATGTATGTATGCATGTATGTATGTATGTCAGTATCTATCTATGTATGTATGTATGT